TTACCAGAAAAAGAATGTTCTAGGATCGGATTAAGCTGACTCTGGCCGCCGGCATTGTAGCCACACTTCGACCTCTGTCAACCGTCGGCTTGGAAAGATCTGTCTGTGGCTGAGCTGCAACTGTGTAGCTATAATAGAAAGGGATGTGTGCGTTCGGGCGTCAGAGTGGAGATGGGCGCCAAACTTCTCGATGGTATAGCGCGCTCGATGAGTACTTTTCTCAACTGGATAGATGGCTTGCAGCCAACTGGATGCTGCCACCAATTTTCAACTGTCAGTGTTGGGCTAAGGGATATTAATATTTTGTCCACTCTTACAAATAGTTGCTTTGTGTTTTATTTCATAACAAGAACAACATCTACAGAACCTGAATATTTCTTCTGGCATTTAAAATGATTTGGCAAATTTTCAGGTTTACCATGTACGTACCAACCTTTTCTGACCTATTCATATGTTTTTCCTCAATGTGAGGTCTTTAGAGGCAACAATGAAATTTTCATTCATCTGCTGTTAGTCCTAGCACTAGGCTAGCTTAAAACATTCATTTTCTATCAATGATACAAACTACTTGCAACAAAAAATGCCATTTTCATATAAATGCAGTAGGGATATGATAAATGATATGGTGTGATTTTAGGGATATGTGAGATGAGTTTGTACAATGCACTCTCTACCACTATTAGGCAGTGTCGTCAAAATATTTTCAACACAGTTATGGTTGCAAAAGCCTTCCATTCAAAGAGTTTTGAAACAATTTTTTCCTTGGCATCGGTGAATTATCAATATTATCGCACGATATGTAGAACACAGCACATGCTCTTTGACTTTTAAAAAGCCAGACATATTGAATATTGTACAAAGACTTACATACATGTATACAAAAGACATAAGGTTTAGAGAGAATCAACTTTCAGACATGCAACTGCATCCCCAATTAGAAAGTTTTCTTATTATCAAATGCTACCATGAAACTTTATACATCAGACGCAAACTTAGATCAAAACCCTCATTAGATAATATTTGATTAGATTGCTGGTTTTTCTAATAAGCTGCAATTCCTGACACAATAATAATACATTTTTACCAACCTACAACAAAAAGGTATTTTCCCTAGGGCTAGATCCTGATTGTCCAAGCTACCATGACTAAATTTTTTTAAATGCATTTGTTTGATAAAAGATGGGTTTTAGATAGAACTAAGCAACTTTTCAGAGTTAGTGATTGCACTTTTAGTTACATCACAAATTTATGGCTAAGATATTTAATCATTGCATAAAATTTTGTGTCTCAGAGATGCATAATCATAGTAAGCGTTTCATTAATTTTCTTCTTCAGTCTCCTTTTGACCTGAAGGAGCATCTTCTTCAGTCCCCAACACACTGACCAGTTTGGATAACTCCTTACTTAAATCACCTGAAAAAAGAAAGGAAAAATTTAAAACATAAGAATATCAGCATTATGTGTTTTGGTAAAATGGGGGGAGAGATGGGGGAGAGGGATAGGAACCCCCAACTTTTGATATGTTCTTCCCGGCACATCAAAACGTACTTACAAAAAGGTATATATTGTGTGAACAGAAAAAACCTATTTCTACACACTTATATTTTTTTTAGCAGTCAGCGACAGCGTAGAATGAAATGTCCCCTTGAACAATCGGTCGTATCTTGTCACTGTGGCTCTATCGGTAGCGCGCAAAGCAAGAGCATGAAAGGTCAGCGGTTCAACCCCCCCGTCGGTCTGAAATTTTTCTCTGGCCACCAAATTTCAGATGGGCTTCAACCCCGTCATTCCACCCCGTTCCCACCTCGTGGAATTCCGACGGCGTAGTTGTTACTGTCCTTGGTGGTACTGCGCCGAAGGTGGCATCTGACTCGGCTCTGGGCCGGGGTTCGACTCACCGTTGGGAGTTCCCTGGTGCCAGTGGCGGATTAAGGTCCGGCTGACAGGGGGGCGATGCACTGTCGGTTGCCTACATACAGGGGTTTTGTGGCGCAAATTGCCTACCTTTCAGGCGGCTGTCTAGAGACGACAGGGGGGGGG